GGGGGAAGAGAGGAGGAAAAAGCCGTAGGGGGACGGTGAAGGGAGCGGGGCGAGCTGCAGCCCTGAGACGGGAAAATGCGGGCTAATCGCCTGAAGGGTGCGTGTGCTGAGGGGTGTGTGTGTGTATGTGTGTGTGTGGGTCTGCAGGCGAGCTGCTGATCCCAGCGTTTTGAGCACAATAGTTTGGGAGCTGGTCTGCACCCAGGGTAAATGTGACCGGAGTACCAAGCAGCTCGTCCCGCCTGCGTTAGGTCAAGCGAGGAGATGGGAGCGCCAATCCTTTCCCAAAGTGGGAAAGTTTTGTGGAGGGGCTGCGAGGAGGGGCGGTGCACGCCGAGCCGCTGAGAGAGAGAGAGATTCCCTCTTCTGCTGTCTCCTCTCCAGCCTGGACAGGGAATAAATTCCTTCCGATAGAAGACAATTTTATGCCGGGTTTAAATTATGTCGGCACCAGACATGCAAAATCTCTTTGGTAATGTTTCTTTTACAATCCTGGGACATGGCATGTGAATCTAAGTGCTGATCATTAATATTATTAATGTTGAATGAAAGTGAGGTTTATTGCACTCAGCCTGTGTTTACACCATTTAATAGTAACAACAGTCATGTTCAGAATTAAACTACAGAGCTACTTTATTGCTTTTAAAAAAAAAAAAAAAGACTCTCTTTTTTCCCCATAATGCACAGTCTTAAAATCAGAACACTACAGAAAATGTATATTTTCTCAAGGGATAAAAAATGGATTGGAAAGTATCTACCAAGATCTAGCTTTCCATCCTAACATTGAAAGCATATTCTTCAAGGAAAAGTGCTTCAAATAGAAGTAGAGAAGTAGGTTAAATATAGGCTGAATGCTAAGATGTACGCAGCGATGTGCTTCACGAAGAAGACAATGCAGGCATACCCCTGAAATAGCCCTACTCCCGTGGCTACATCTAAGATACATCCACCTAGGCTACATCTATATATCTGAGTAATGTGCATCATTCTCATCAGATCCGTACAGCAAAAAAAGATCAATATTCACATTTCCAGAGGTTTTATTTCAGATTCTCTCTAGTCCAGCTCTATGGACTGAATGCCCAGAACTCATTAGGTGGACTTCTGGAGCACCTTTTCCGATTTAGTTTCATCTGAAAAGAGTCTACCTGGTGCACTCATCACTGCAGTAAACCCAAGCATGGTAAGTGAGGATGATAAGGAGTTTCGCTCCAAAAGCATGCCCTTGATGCACACTAAAATATGAATAGAGATGTGCCCAGGGGGTGACTTATAGAGAGGGAGCTGGTATGACTTTCCCAGAGGGGAGAGCTGAAGCCTGCTCTGCAGCATACCATTCCAGCACCCTCCCCTCAAATCAGCTCTCCTTACCGTGCCAAGCCTCCACCCCGAAAGTACACCAACTCTCATGCTCCCTTTCTGCACGGCGCTGTGCGCTTCTTGATAAATATAGTCGCTCTTCATTTACTGTTCTCATGCCTTCTGTCAGCACTTGGCTCAGTCAGGTGCTTTACCTCCCGCAGCTTCATTTTACCTACATATGAAATGACAGGGATACTAAGCTAATGTTATGACATGTGAACTGTGCTCTTAGTATAAAGGAAGGGAGAAATAGACTACTATTACTAAATCTGACATTGTCTAAAGACGTGGTCTGCCACGCTTTCCTTCAGATAAAGGTCTCAGTTACAATAAAACAGTGATAAATGTGTCTAAATTAGGCATATGTTGGGATTATACACAGGTAGAAATTGCTTGGTATTAAAATAACTATGGACAAACTTCTGCTTTTCACATGGAACCAGTCTCTCAGTTCAAACTGACTTTGTAAACCTAGGGAGAAGCAAACAAGTATGAATTTATTCAGGCAATTTATCTCTTCCACGATATATGCCACGGTCCCCAAGTCAATGCTTGTTTTGCTAATGGCATCTGTACAGCAGTACATTTGCTTCCCTTATATGGCCTTTACATTTGCTCCCTGAGCTGCTGCCATTCTGCATTCCCTTCATAGAAACTACACGCTGAAGTCTGCATCGCTCCCAAAGCATCTTAGCTTGCCAACAAGCTGGTCTCTGAATGCCCCCACAAGCTGGTTGCATGACATATGCACTTGTAGGGCAATAAGCTTTATTTCACAATCCGTTTTCTGTCAGAGAGGAGGGAGTTTTGTTTTGATTTGAAACCAAATTAAACACATTACACATATAAGTTAATATCCAAATTCTTGCTTCTTTTTTTTTTTTTTTATGTTTACAACTCAGCATGCTTCAGCTACATCACCATTTGCTGCCTCTTTCAGGGAACATTAAGCTTAGATGTATTTTTACTGGGAAAATTAGTCAAAATATTTCAGTCCTCATCTAACCGGGCTGAAAGAAGAAGAGAGTTATTACATGGTGCTTCAAGACCCATGAACTTTCCTGTCACCGCAGAAGTAGAGAGTCTGCCTTAGAGCAGAGTTATAACAAAAGTCCTGATCTCCAGGGTCTTGTCTATACTGAAGTGCAAGCTGGTTTTAAAATTCGTTCTGGTGTTTTGAAATTTAAGAGAATCCTTCTCTTTTGAGAAAGCTTCAGAGCTGGTAAAGGGAACATGAAACCTGGGAATTCCCACTGCTGGAATCATTAGAAGTCAAACTGGATAAAACAACCATGAAAATACTGTCAGAAAACTACCATAGCAGTGAGATGGGAGAATATCCTCACAGATTTCACTCTC